AGATGTTTACTGTACTTGGAAATGAAACCTGCTCAAAAAACTTTAGTCTAGTCACTCATCTCGAAAATGTAGGTCAGATCCAGCAATTGAAGCAAGTCTGGTAGTGTGCATCCTTATATGTATTATCCATGCAAGTTTGGTCAATATTATAGGGCTTATAGTTACTTGGAAATGCTCCCTTTAGCTGAATTTGCAGCATCTAAAACCTTGACTGGTATAATGAAACATACTAGAAGCATCCTTCATGCATCTCTGATTAATATAGGGCATACATGTAGAAGTACAGTTGACCTTCTGTATTTAGAACACGAATATATCTCGAATACCATGGATATGTCGAAGTCATATTTTGAAGTCCCATCTGCTTATTCCTTACTAAGTATTTTACCCTGAATATCTTAAATCCTCGGTTATCTCAGAGTATTTTCTTTGTCCCTTTGAGTTCGAGATAACGAGGTTTGACTGTACTTGAAAAGAAATCTGCTCCAAAAACTTTAACCTGGGATGCGGGCGCCTGCACTGATGGTATTACATAAACTCCCCAACTTCGTTGAGGTGAGCTAAAAATTCAAAATCCATATTCTTGACGTTATCATGAAACTAACTTAATGTCATACTGGGCTGTGCGGCTTGTATATACAATCTATTCACACCTATAATTTTTGTAAAATAGTGTATATTGTTTAATTTTTATATATTTACTAAATCATGGTCTATATCAAAATTATGTTGTATACACTTGGCAGTGTGGTCAATATCAAGAAAATTATGGCATTTGTCTAAGAACTTTCTGGACAACCCTCATACAAGTACTCTTTTAACTCAAAAATCTTTATTAAGGTCATGAAATACTGAATTTTCATCTAGAATGTCACATTGATCTGCAAAACTCAAAAGGAAAAAAAATGGTGGAACAATTTGTTGAATGAAAATGTATCAAACAAAAATCTAGCATAAACCCATTATTAAGGTGACCAGAGATATACGTATGATCCTTGAAATTTAAAATCTTTATTAACATGATTAAGGTGACCAGTTATTCAGGGTTGTCCATAAGAACTGAAATAGAAAGAGGACATTTTAAAAGTGGAAGGTTATCTTGGATTCCTCTGCTAGTGAGGGTTGAGGAGGCAATGCCAGAATAACTGGGGGATTATGTCAATACGAGCGGCGAATTTACCTGGCCCCTGAATCTTGAGCACAACCGTAGGTATTCTGCATTTAAGCAACATGTTTCCTCACTATTCCTTAACATTGAAGAATAAAACATCCTTATAAATCAAAAATCTAGCTTACATGCATTAACCCATCATTAAGGAGACCAGAGATATATGCATGATTCTTGAACTTTAAAATCTTTATTAAGGTGACCAGGTATTCAGGGTTGTCCATAAGAACTGAAATAGGAAGTGGACATTTTAAAAGTAAAAGGGTGTCTTGGATTACTCCTCTAGTGGGGTTTGAGGAAGCAATGCCAGAATGACAGTGGGATTAAGTCATTACAGACAGGGAATTTCCCTGGCCCCCGCGTCTTGAGCACAACCTTGGATATTCTACATTTAAGCATGTAAAACATTAATCAATTACATTTAAGCAATGTTTCCTCACTTTTTCTTAAAACTGATGAATAAATTAATCCTATAAATCAAAAATCTAGCTTACATGCATGAAACTATCATTAAAGCTGACATGAATTCTTAAAAGCGCAACATTTGCATCAATGTACGACTTGTTTCATACCAACTAGCCATATTCTGCCATATTTCTTTCAGATACCTTGTCTTATTGTATCAATGTATACCCCAATGCCCTCATTACACTTGGGTGAGTTTTTGGTTTGGCTATCCACGCGTGCCCATCTCCGATAGTAAAGTATCTTGGAACACAGGAATTGATGAAAACATTTCAAAACCATAGCAGATAAAAACAGTCATAAAGATATTTATAAGTATCGTTTTGAATAATGTAAATGCAAGTTTGGAAGAAAAAAACATAGTTGTGTATGTTCTTTAAAAGCATGCCAATATACAGATATATAGCATAATATACTTGGAATAATTCACAGTAAAACTCGTACAAACACTATTGTAAGAATGGAACAAACAACCAGCGTATTTGATATGCATGTCCATATGCAAATATAATGATGCATACCGAGAGAACGTGTCGAACGCTGTAAACTTATTCATACCTCCAAAATAGACCACTGTACTCGAAGATGTGCACATGCCGAGTGATTTACACCTTGTATTTCAATGAAATGTGCAACACAGAAAAGTAATAAACTCTATAAATACTCAACAGTAAACACGTTGTCATGTCATCATACAGCCTAGCACTCAAATACACTTAGTCCGTGCTGATCAGATTTTGGTCAGCTAGGGAAAATATCAAAAGTGAGAAGGGGAATTAGTATTTACGCGACTGGGTAAAAAATAAGAAATCACTAAGAAAAGTCTGATTGCTGTTCATGAAGTGAAACTGAAAATTGTCTAGTTCTAATAAACATACAAACATTCTTTGTGTGTATATATTGCATTACAGGCTTCATTTATACTTTTTTAACTGTTGATTTTCATTGTTTTTGAAAGGGGACAGACGGAAGAAATAATTGACACTTTACCTGAAAAATCTTTGACAAGCTAAAAAAATGCTCTGGAAAAATGGGAGGGGGCAACCCCAATCCAAGCGTTCTACAGGCCTGTCTTTTATGGTTAATTTTGTAACTAAAGGATTTTTTTTTTAAAGAATGGCTGGCTCTCCCCACTCTCATCGAACGATACTGTAAGTATTGTATACTCAAATATTTTTCTTCCGAAAATGATAGTATGAATGGAATCTGTCCTCCCCCTGACTACGGATATTTTTCAATCCCTGTTTTCCTTCTTCATTTTTTCCATAAGTATTTTGGTATTTTTCTGCATCCCTCCCAATTTTTAGTGCCTAAAGTTTTTTTAGTTTTTTTTTTTGTGGCTTATCAATCATTTTACTACCCCCCGCTCCCCATCGCATACACACATTTTGAGAAATGGTGCTACGTGCCTGTTTTATATGTATGTATAGGAAGCCTTTCCTGGTTGAAAATTTTCCCTAGATAATATAAAATTTGATACCTATACAATTTCTTGTATTTTAAGAGAATCTGTAAGGATTACTTGAAACCCTAACTGCAAAATTGTGGATAAATATTTTTTTGCATTTTCATACAAGTATACACACACACACACTCTCTCTCTCTCTCTCTTTCTCTCTCTCTCCCTCTCGTGTAAGCATATGTAAGAGCAATAAAGCGTACAAAATCTGATGTACTACAAGCAAGTTAAAATCATGGGAAATGCTTTACAAGGGCAGATCAAGGAATTTTTCCAGAGGTGGGTGGGTCAAACCTGCTGAAAAAAAAAAGTCTCATTTTTAAACATTTGTAAAAACTATATTTCACGGAAATGGAAACTGTGCACCATTCTCACGAACTTTCCAGAGGGAACGAAGTAATTTTTTTGCTATTTTATACCTATTATAAAAATTTTTAGACAAGAAGAAAACAATAAACAATATATTAAAATTTAAAAAAAAAACTTGGGGGGGGGGGGGCACTCTCAGAGGCACATTGCTTTCCTTTCCTATAAACTTTGACTATTAATTATATAATATTTAAAGAAATTATACACATGCATGCAACCATATTGTAATCATTCAGTCACATTACAAACTTTCTTTCAATATCTAGAACATGTAAATATGTGTAATTGTTAAAAAAAAAACTTTATGTAATCAATAATTAGTACTTTTGCGTCGCCACGTGATAATATTCAACAATGCGAGAATGGTTGAATCTCTTCACTTTACATTTGGGTACACGGTTAGAACTATTTCAATTATCAATGTTACTTTCATATAATTATATACTAATAGTGTAATACATGTACTTACTCAGCTTCAATTTAAACAAAAACATGTACTGTAGATTATCTTATATACACATAATTATGTCTGTTCTTGTTGGTAATTGTATCAATCATGCTTGTAATTTGTGATGCCTGAAAGGGCCCCGATTTGAAAATAATCTATGTACAGAAACAAATTGTTCAGTGTGTGTAAATTTATGATATATTAGTTTTAGTTTTATATCTAAAACAGTTGAAGCCAGTTCATTGTACGTATTTAAATATATTTGATCAAGGAAAATCCAAATTTTTTCCGACATTTGTTTAAAATATATTGAAGAATGTATTACACATATTCCACCCCCATCCTTTCATTTTCTTTAAAAGATGTAAGATCCGTAACGAGAATGTATGTAATGAATTGACGCTTAGAGCAAAGTGATTTTTATTCCCTGTGACTTTAAAATATATTATTAACTTAATGGATATAACGAATTACACTTATTATGAAGCAAATTCTCCATCCCTGGCACTTTGTTATAAGGCCAAATAAAAAAATATGTGTGGTTCCGGTTACCTGACCTTCCCTATTTTATACCCCGACCCTAAACTTTTTTTGGGCAATTTTCATATTTTTTCCGGAATTTTCCCCGATTTCCATCAATGGCAATTTCAGCAATGACGGCCTCCTTGCAAAACATAGTTTAATAGTGTTAAATCCAAAGCAAACTAGCATGTAGGTGTCCCCTACCAATATTGACTAGTATATTATCACACCACATCTAAATGCCATTTGCAAAGCAGTGATAGGTATTATTTCTAAAGAAAAAATTAAGAAAATCAATAAAAAAAAAAAAAAAAAAATCCCTACCTACCTACCCTAATTTTTATGGAGGTGTAACCGGAACCAGACATATTTTTTTGTTTGGCCTAAGCATGTTTTACTGTAATTCTTACAAAATTTTGTGATAAAATATCAGGAAAAAGATGACTTTTGGTCACAAAACTCACCTGAATGGGATTGCATGCATAATTTTATTTTAAATTTCTTCAACACTAAATATTCTAATGGTTAAATTTCATCAAACAGCCCTAGAAATCAACACTTTAAATTACCTCAATTAAACACCAAATCCTCCTTCCATTCTCATAGTTGTACAACACTTCTTCTTCATGTAAGTCCTTTCTTGTCAGCATGTATATGCAACTGTTTTCTTTTACCAAAACTTTTAATTCGATCCATTGATTGATTTGTTTCATTTTCATTGTTGACATCTGTAGGGAAATAAAAGTTTCATAATTACATGTATTTTAATCAAACTCAAAAGTACCTCTTTTAACAGATTATTAATCACTCTAAAATCTAAATGTTTTCTTTAACATGAAAATAAGTCATAACAAACACATTTTTAAAATATAAATATACTTTTTTTTAATCTGTAATCTATTGTAGTAGAAAAGGAATGTATAAAGAAAATAAAAGGTTGGAATCAAACCAAGGACACCTGCTTCACTAGTCAAATGTTCTAACCACTGAACTATCAAGGCTGATTCATATAGTCTAAACTACTATTTTGTTCACTCCTTCAACAGTCTTTGATCTCAAAGACACGTAACAAGTTCACCTACCTGGAATTAATCACAAGCCTCCACCCCCACCCCCCATCACATCTTTGTTCGAATTAAAGGAAGCTTTAAACACTGCTCAATGAAGAGTTCTACATTTAGTATAGGTATCTCTCAATACCTCAAAGTATGCAGGACTGCAATCATGTGTTGTGGGTTTGTGTTCAGTAAAGTGTGCAGAGTTATGCCTAGGTCACATTTAAGCCGATGGTCAGGCAAATCAAATCTTTATCGTATCGTCGGTTTAAAAACATGATCAGCTGACAGTAGTATCGAGCGACGTGGAGCAGTCACATTAATTCCTAAGAACACTGATAATTTTCAAAAATTAGATAATTCTAAGTTGGCCAACAGTCGCCCAATCATCGTTCACTAAGCCACAGTTTGATTTTCACCATCAGCCAACATTTACAAAAACCCAATTCCAATAATGTTGACCCATTGACGACCGACTTTAAGAACTGTCTACCAATGTTCGGATGATGATTGAAGGTTGGTCGACAGACTATTGTACGACTGCTTCAATTGAAGGAATCAGCCACCAATGCAGAGAAAATTATAACATGGCCCAACAGACACAAAATTGGTAGGCTGACAAAAAAAGAGGTCAAAATCGGGCAAGACAATGGCAGATGAACAGCTGACTGTTGCCTGAAGAAGGTATTTTTGCCTCAAAAACTGTCGCCTGTTGATCTTTTTTGGAAAGTGACTGGGGTTTTTGAAAACATGTAAACATTAAAACATAGACACTTCGAGGTATTGAGAGTAAATAACAACAAATTATGCATATCAAGACTGCATTTTGACTTAGAGGGATCATGGATTTCCGAATCAAGAGACTGAGAGTTCAAGAGATCAAACGTAAATTTGCTTAGTTATATAAGTAAAAATATCTTTGTAGTCACCTTTTCATCACCTGAAAAATTGGAATTTCCCTGTTAATTAACTACCATTTTGCTTTCTTCTTTGTTTCGTTCAAAATTCATTTAATTTTCCCTTTTTTCTCACCATTTTTGCAATGAGGTCAGTCATATTTGTTAAAGGATTTTGTCTCTTATACAAGGAGTAACTCTATATCTGTATCTACATAACCACAATTCAGATCATAATAGAATTTGGCATATATATTACATTTAAATCTTTACATTTTGCTGCATGTTTATGACATCATGGTATGAAAATGAAGTCAATATATTGATGACTTGTGTCAAAACCAGAAGTCTCTGATGAGACTGTAGCTCTTCTGGTTTGTACTTTAACAATTTTTTTTAAATAAATAATTTTTAATTAGACAATTTCAATATTATTGTGTGTGTTAATTAATTTAACATGTTATAATGAATATTGGACCATAATCTGTCGTTGTAAGCTGGCAACACAGAGAAGAGTAATTCGAAATACAAGTCATGTACACTAAACGAAAGTAGGCTCCTGAATAAGTCCCGTGCATCTCGTTATATCCGGAGTCCACTGTACTGGGTTTCTGGTCTTTGTTATCAACTAAATTTTTGTTTTGTAATACAGAGGAATATGAATAGCAAGTTTAGTTATTACAGATCCAACCATATTTTCATTAATTTTGGGGATAAATGACTATAGGGAAAATTAACACATTCAATTGGGAAGAAAGGTACCTCTTTTGAATTAGGAATGGGGCCCTTGAATGGTCCTAATTATAGACAATCGAGAGCCCTAAGGCATCCAGGTGTGGTTCCCCAACAGCTTGGCGAAACGAATTGAATAACTATCCTACTTCCCCCCCCCCCCCTTTGGGATCCCTAATTCTAAATGTTATATGCAAAGCCAGCTGTAATAATACTGCTAATTTCTTTTCCAAAACTGGTTGTTTTACCATTACTTTCATCACCATGTCTCAAAGAAAAATCCAAAAAATTTCAAGAGTGAGAAAAATAAAAATTCTTTCCGACGGTCATGAACATACACCTGCCTACCAATACATAGCTATAAACATGTGGTAAGCACTTTTATGGCTGTAATGTATTACCAAACATTTTCTAATGTAGTAGGTTATCATTACAGAAAAAGTTAAAACCTACAGTTTTTAACAAATTGGATTCCACGTAAAAATACTAATTACAGTTTGTGTACACAATGTGGCATGATTATCTCGTGCAGAAAGACGATGGGATTAGTTAGTTACGCTTCATTGCATATAATACCTGTGAAATTGATTTGAAACTGCACTTCTTTGTCAACTTATTTAGTATATACTTGTCTTGTTTAAGGTAGTTCTATACTCAGCTCTAAATGGGCTCAATATTGAAAAATCTGCTTTTATAAGATAGACATATAACCCAGCAATGGAAAAGCATAAGAAAAATTATATGTCAACATGTTTATTTAACTGCTATGGCCTCTCAGACTATATACCCCGAAATGTAGAATACTGAAAATGTACCTATCCATGATTTTGTCTATATATCAGAATTAATAGCGATTCTCTGTAACCACTTAAACTTCTTTGCCACGCATGGTCACCGATTTTGATGAAACTTTGCCCATTATTACAACTTGACACCAAAAACATATATCAAATAAAATTTCGATGCTATGTGTCTTGGTTGCCATGGCAACAGCCAGAAAAGTTGAAAAAATTGAGATTTTCAGCTACTTTGAATCTTTATTAAGCCTTTATAAAGAATAAGAATAACAAACAAACCATTCTCCCCAACACCTGAAACCTTGTTGCCACTTATGCTATAAAGAAACTATTTAGAATTTATCTCTAAGTAAGTGGTAACCATGGGTACATTTGGAATACATTTTAGATGCTGAAAAATGCAGAAAAATGCTCAATATTCACTAATGATAGGTGTTAAATGATCAAACTCAATCAACAACCTAAGAAAAAAACAATAAAAATATTGGACCTTAAGTAATTAGGTATTGGCAATATTATTCTAAAAATAACTTTCATGGTTGCCATGGTAACACAGTGTTACCATCCACAATGTTTTGCTAAGATTGGGTTAATGCTACTATCTTCAGAAAAAACAATAAATTTCATGACTGGCACATATATATCCTTAGGACCTTGCAACACCGACAACATAAGAAAAATTGGGATTAATTGTTACTTTGCGGTGTAACCATGGAAACAATGTACCAGTTGTTTTAAATGATATTTTTTGCTGCCTTAGGAATTTCCTTACCTTTTATTCAAGAAACATATTATTTGACTCCGTGGAATAGTACTTATCTGGTAAAACTAAAGTTGAATATCATATATTGATAACGTTTGTAGAAAAATACAACACTGTTGCTATGGTAACCAAGAAGGGAAAATGTTCGATTTTGTTAATTTTATATCAATATTAAACCCTATGTGCCAGCTTTTTGCATCCAGTTAGAGATTGGGTGGCAGTCAAAATTGAAAGTCAGGTTAGATCTTCATAATTACCAATCATAAAAGTTTTGGGAATCTACATACAAGGGTACGTATCCAAGGAAACAGAATATTTTTCAGATTTTTATGCATATTTTTTCGGCTTATTTCCATAGCAACGCTCTATTTAAAGAATTGAATTTGCATTTTTTGAAATGTGAGAATTAGGGTCACATGAACATCTATAAAAATTGATCATTAGTTATATAGAAATATGCTTTTTAAAAAGATAGGATTAGATTTAAATCACTAAGAGAGTAAATTTAAAATCCCTTCTTGGTATTAAAACCATAGCAACCATTGCCAACCTATAAGAAATATCATATTTCTTCCATGGTATATGTTACAAGGATCTTTTGTCTATTATTTGCTTGTATTTCAACCTATATTTTTTTTTATTCTTAAGTGTATGATGTTATGAAATTAAATGAGCAAAATTATTACTTTTGAATACTTTGTTTCCATAGTAACGTATGTTATAGTTGATTTACCAAACATGTTTATCATGCATTTAAGACATCAGGCCTTCAAATTTCAGAAACAATCATTACCACTTGTTTGCTTTGCTGCAAATGTTAACTGTGGGACTCCGAACATGTTGAAAAATGCCATTTTTCACACTTTAAGACATGTTGCTATGGTAACCATGTCACGTAGCAACCAATTTCTGCCTGATTTGAGTTTAAGATATCAAAGACTTTTATCATAGAGAGTTTGGAGAAATTCTGAGACTGTGCGTGCCACAGCTTCTATATAAAAGTTCAAGTCGTTACAGAGAATGGCTCTTAAAATCTAAACAGTCAACTTTAATACACAGAATAGAGTAGAAAAATGACTCAGAACAAAATTGTTACCGGACATTTAAAACGCCAAGTAAAAGTCAAACCACTATAGTTAAAAAATCACATCTCGAAAATAAGAAGTGTGGTTTCGGTTTTACTATTCGTTAGTGACGTAGTGCGAGTATTGGTCTACTTTAATGACATTGTTACATAGTTTAGCCAATAAAAAAGAAATATCACCTCTTTACTTGACTACTGACGACATATTTATTATTTATTTGGTACATTATCAGGTCTGGACGATTTCCAAATATGGAAGTCAAGAACGATAACTGAAAGTTGCCATAAATATACATCATATACACGTAAATATTTTTCTGCCCAATCAGAACACAGCATTTTTACACATCCCAAAACATATTTCAAAGGGGTTAAAGTTAAAACTGAATATGTATCCAATAATCCACCATCTGCGCTCACCCAACGGTGATACTGTTAACATACAGGGGTTTTTC